GGGGCTGTTAGTCACTGCTCAGTTCCAGCCCCCTGGAATTCTGTATGTGCCAGACGATCCCGGGCAATTGGAACACCTGAAGGGCAGCGATGATTTATTTCTGTCCACGGCTCTCCGGCACAACCCTCCAGGGAATCAGATTCCACAGACACCCAGATCGATACGCTTTGGTCACAGATTGCAAAGAGAGCAAGAACAGGCAAGGAATACAAACCAAGCTGGGGACTGACTGAGGAGGAGGCTCCAAGTCAGCTCCAGAAGGAGCAAAGACTTCACGCGAACCAAGGAATAAAGATAATTTCCATATGGCTCTGTGGAAGTTCGCTGTGTGCTTCCTCCCAAACACTTCAATTTTATTTTGCTTTATAATATCTCAGGAATCACAGTTTCCACCACGAACATTCGTCTCATTTCAAAATAGTTTAACTCCATATCTGAGTACGAGCTGAGCAACTCCTGCGAATGAGTCTGCTGCAAGTAAAATTCAGCCATTTCTCAACTACTTCAATGTTTACCATGAGAATCGGGAGATTTTTAGATTTTTAAGAGGACATGCTGCATGCAGGGCAGCACAACTGCAAGACACATTAGGAATTTTTAACTATTTTAATTTTATGCCATTAAAAAATGTACTGACACCAAGGCCAGCCCCATGTGCACAACCTACACCACCCCCTTGTCTGCCTACAGACACATCTCTAACCTCATGCAGCGCTGGGTGTCATCTTTGTCCCTGAATCCACAGCAGAGCCAGGCTTCCAGGAGTTAACAAGGAGTCAAAACTCCCCCTCGAGGGAACATGGGCATACACAAGACATACAGTCACCCTTCCAGGCTCTTGACTATTTTAAGCATGAGAGAGATGCAGAACTTCGCAGGCGATGGTTTGTTCCGAGTCTGGCAGGGCTGCACCACTCACGCCGGGATGTCACCGCGGGCGGGAGCTCCATCCCCCGCTGCCACCAGCATCATCCCTCATCCTGTAGGAGCTGCATTCCCGAGGCACACCACAGCCAGACCCATGTGTAGACCCAGAAGTCATTTTTCTACATTCCTTCATCAGAAAAGCAAAGTGGACAGAAGCATCCCCAAGACGTAGCACTTTTCAGGAAGACTTTGGGGATGTTCAGAGGAGAGGGAATGCTGTGCACAGCCACCTACAAGGCAAACACTGCACCCCAGGACTGCAGATTAATGGCTGAGCAGGACACCAGAGCAGGGACTCCATGGAAAATAAGCAAATGCAGTTGTCAGCCTCCTCCAGTGCCACCGACTGCAACATTCGGACTGGAAAGGACACGAGGCACAATCTGCTGGTCATCCATATGGATGCCTCCCTCCCTCCCTCCTTCAGTCCTCCTCAGTATCTCAATCGAGGTCAGGCACGCACACTCAGACTCGTTTTCTGACAAATTTGTAACTAAAAAGCTGGAACTAATAACTGGAAGAGCCCAAAGCTGGTTTCATGGACTTGTTTAGGCAAAAAAGCTGGCTGACTCCACCAATTTCCATCTAGGCAAGGTAATAGAGAGAAATCCTACACTCCTGTGTAAAAATGTAAATCCCAGCTCAGTGAGTCATTTAAGCACATGCCTAATGCAAAGCCTGAAACAAATCCTGCTAATAATCCAGGCTGCTCTCTTATTTACAGCTAGGCATGGCTTGAGTACCTGGATGATCTGGAAATACCCCCGAGCCCCCGGAAAAGAGCCTAAACCAGGCTGGTCTGGGAATTAATCACAGTGGTATGAGCAGAAGTGCTAATATGAACCGGGGGAGGACTGTGTGTGTGTGTGTATGTGTGTGCTGAAGCATCTGTTCAAGTTTAGGCATATAAAACATTTTTCAGCCCAATGACTCCAGAGGGAAATGCCTCATACATCAGCTCATCTGAGTCAATTTTTCCATCACATTTCCTTTAATACAGTTTTGTCCATAAATACACTATTTGTTTTTTCCAAATATAGATTTTTATTTATAGCCAGAAAACCTTGTAACTTGTGTTATTGCTTAAAGCCCTGGGTTCTGTTTTGAAATGGAAACACATTCTTTCTTGAAACAGAATCATTGAGGAATTACTGGCCAGTACTGAGGTATGAAACCAAGTTCTCTATGTTTGCAGAAGGAAAAGGCATTTTCTTTTTGCTCCAATATTTGCCATTCTCCGAGGAATCACCAGTAAGATCACAACTGCCCAGCCACAAATTGCATGTCAATTATCCCACACCACATCCAGGCACTTTCACCTTAAATCTTCATTTTACACCGAAACAAAGTTAAGTTTTTAAAAATCCCAACCAGATCTTCCAGACAGTCCCGAATTTGGGGAGAACTGTGCGTCACTACCCAAACAGAGATAACAATTCATATTTATGGTATGAGGAGGTCAGAAAAGGAAATGTTAACATTGCCCTTTCCCCTCCAAGGAGCATTTTGGAGATAAATTCCTTTTTGTAGCTTTTAATGGAAAGCAATGAGCCTTCCAAAACCAGGACCAAGAATGGGCAGTGAATGGGAAATCTGGTGATTTTAACATTTTAAAAACATGGGTTGTTTTCAAGAATGGAATTTACATATTGAGCAATACCAAACACAGCAAGAAAAATGTGATTTAATACAATTTGACCATTATTAACCATAACTTGAGTCAATAACAAGCACAGCCTGTTATTCCATGGCACAAGCACGGGACAGTGGAATTGCACTCCCGCTGCTGCGGGAAATGCCGAGACCAGCTGGAAACACTGATAAATGCCAGGGGCTTCTGCAATAAAACCTTCACTCCCTTCCAAAGCAGGGCACACAGAGGTGGCCGTGCAGCCACCCATGAGGGGCTGGCACCAGGATCCAGGGACCATCTGTAGCTCAGGGAGTCTCCCTACCTGCTGGGCAGGAATGCGCTTCCCTGCTCAGGTCAGCAGGGACAAAGAAGAGCCACCATAAAAATCAGGGAATAGTAATGGAACATTACTAATTACTATTACTAATGGAATTTTTAACAGCAATAATTTGCTTTCTATTAAGCAGATTAAGAATACATAAATCTGGAGCACAAGTCAACTCTGTGGAGTGGCAGCACAGAATACAAAGGCTGGAAGCAGGGTGGGAGCAAAGAATCACCTTCCCCCTAATGAGGCAGCAGCGCCCATCCCCCGGGACCGACAACAAAGGGGTCCATTATCCACTGGAGGGTTTCACTCCAAGTGGTTAATGATTGCTACCCTTGTCCGAGTTCCTGCTGGGGTTCAGGGAATCCTGTCCCAGCAGGAAGGGTGAGGCACGAAAGAAGTACCTTGTACAAGGCAACGCTCCTTGTGATTTCCATGCTTAAAAAAGGTGCTGGAAATCTGAAGTGGTGTAAGGAAAGAGCCACAAGATCAGCCCCTTCTCCCCAGCTCCATGCTGGTGGTGAGGCTGCAGCATGATTTCTGAGAATCACAGAATATCCTGAGCTGGAAAAGACCCACAAGGATTATCCAAGTCCAACTCCCGATTCCATCGCTTCTTTCCTCAGCCAGCGGCTCCTTGCAGGTGCCAATGACCACAAATCACCAAAATTCACCTCAGCGAGCAGGGTCTGCCTGGGCTCACACACTCTGTGGTGTTCCAGCAGCTCTCCACGGAAATCTCACCATTCCATAAGGACTGCTCACCCTCCAGCATCACAGCTGGGTCAGGAACGAGGTGGCAGCGGCACCACCGAGCCCTTGTGGCTCCAGATTCCTCGGCTACAGCTCCCCAGAAAAACACCAAGGCACTGGATTTTCAGTGATTCAATCCATAACACACCTCAGGAAAGCACCCTCTGGATTATCCAACCCCTAACTGGGTGTTTCTAAGCTGCTCTGTTGGTCCTAAGTGGCTGGTTCACAACCAGGTACAACCTCAGGCACCGGATCTCATCCTTTCCTTGGCAAAAGGGGTGGATGAGGAAAGTTTGGGGATTTTTTTGACTCACAGAAGTTGCTAGCAGTCAGCAAATTACTAAATCAACAAATTTAGACGTTAAAATTCATCACAAACTCTCCATCAGTGATTTCACAGCTTATAAGGAATTTGTTCTTGTAAACTACTGTAAACCATCCAAACCCAGAAAATACTTTTTAAGATAGTTTCATCTAAGCAATGTAATTCCCACACCAATTACCTTTAGAACAACATAATTCTTTAGAAAAACTATGCCTATAATTAAAATTCACCAGGGTATACCAAAATCTTTACTAAATTCTTAAAATTGGTCTCAATTTGCCCAGCATCTGGGTTTTAACTTTCCCCCAACCGAGGGCTAGCATTGGTATTTGCATCACTTGCACATTATCTGTGATGAGTTGGGTGTTTGCTTTGAAGTGAGGGGCTAAAACAGTCCCTAATGAAGGGCTAAGGATAGAACACATCTAGAAAAGAGGTATTTCATGACAATTCCTTGTCTAGAATCCTGCATTCACACCTGTGAATTGTTTTTAAAAACTTAAAAATTGTAATATTGGTGTATGAATGAAGGAAACACTAAGATCTGTAAATAGAAATGTTTTTATTAGCAATAACTCAGTGGTCCCCTCCATCAATGGTAGGACAAACTTACAAACTCTATAGTCTAAAAGCACTAAAGGCAGTCAGACCCTTTGGTAAGGGAATAGCCTGTCAATAAAATGTTTTTAATAACTTTCCAGCACTCAAACTGATCTAAACCTTGATAAACCCATTTCAAAAGGACAAGAGGTGCTTGGTGACAAACCACGGAGCAGCTGGTCATGTTTCCACCACAGTCTAAAAACCATAGACACTCTTGTAAAACAAGTTCCATGTGATGTGAAACCTCCAAAGGGACGTGTCACCGTGCTCCTGCTTTGCCCCATGCACCGGCATTTCAATTTGGAAATGTCGGATAAATTCCTGAATCTCAGAAATACCCTGCAAAGGGCTCTTCACATGGAAGGAGCCAGAGAAAGGCTCAAGGGCAGACCCCACACTCAGCCCGGCCCCAGCCCCTCAGCTCTTACCTGGCCGCCTCGGTGCCCGCAGACATGGTGAGAGCTCCGGCCAGCGCCGGCTGCCACGGGGAGAGCCCAGCACCGCAAGTGCTGCAGCTCGGGGTCACTGAGGACCAGCCCCTCGCTGGAGCTCTGGCATTCGCCAGACACCAAAATGTGGGACAGCTCAGCCCACCCCCACTGAGCCCTGCAGAGCCACCAGTGACCACAGAGCTCCGTCCCCGCTGCTCCCCAGAGCTGCGGAAGTGCCGGAGTTAATGCAAGCACTGCTGCAAATCCAGGACTTTCCCTCCGAGTAAGGCTCAAATTCCCTTTTAAAACTCCTTACCTATCCTGCTTCCCAGCGCCGAGCTGACCTGTTCCCTCAGGAAAGCACAAGCACAACTTTGGAACAGACTTGGAAAGTACCAATAATACAGAGAAGGGCACCTTGCGTTTTCCTAAACACGAGTCTTGACAGAAAACAACAACTTTCTGCCTTAAATGACCTGAAGAAAGGAATGTTTGGTAACTGCACTGACAGCTGGTTCATTGAACATCCCCGAAACACAGATTTCTAACAGGAAGGGACAGTTTGGGGTTTTTCTTAACCAATTATCCTTGACTTAGAGCAGGCAGGAGATATGGAAATAATAACAACAATCAACGGTCTGTCAGATAGAATGGTTTTGTTCTCCCTTTCATTTCCAAATACCAAACAAACACCCAATGAAAAATCAGAACCTGGTGGTACCAACTGTTGCTCCAGAATCCATACACTATATCCATGCCCTAATTAATCCCTATGAACTATCTCCTATTTGTAATTAATTTGACAGCGGAACAAAATCAGCACTTCACTGGGAAGCAAGGTCACACTGACCAGGAAGTGTCAGGACTAATTCCTACTAACAGAAATGAGAATTGGCTTTAAAAGGCCAGTAAAAATAGCTGCACAAGTGTCATTCTTGTGAAATTTTATGACGCTGGGTGAAAGTTAGGCCCAAAGGAAGCCAAAACTCTCATCTGATACAAGAGCGGGATTCTTCTCATGGTACTCTGCATTTGGGTCAAGCAGAGAATCACAGAATGTCCTCAGTGAGACACACAAGGTCATCGAGCCCAACCGATGGCCCTACACAGGACACCCTCAACAATCCCACCACGTGCCTGAGAGCTTTGTCCGAACACTCCTGAAGCTGGAGAAGCATTTCCTCGAGCAATGCCAAAGCGCACGGCTGCGGCCCGTCAGCTTGAGGCAGGGCAGGCTCCGGCTGCCAGCAGCGTTATCAAGGTTTATCCGGGCAAGGAATTCTGAGCAGGAGCTGCTGCTTCCAGGGACTGCTGACACCGGGGATCCGTGAGCCCCGTCCTGCCCGGAGCCGGGAGGGACACGGGGGTGACACGGGACGGGAGGAGGACACGGCGGTGACACGGCAAGAGGCCCCGGGGTGACACGGGTGGCGTCTCCCGGTGCGATCGCTCCGTTCCCGCGCTCGGCAGCGCGGGGAGCGCTCCGCTCGTCACCGAGGGGCTCGACACGTGCAGCCGCGGGCCGGCACCCGGCGCTCCGCCCGGGAAAGCCCCTCAGGCACCACTTCC